AGGTGACGGCAAAGGCACAATCGTTTTCTAAATTTATATAATTTTAGAAATAACCTAATAAAAAAATTTTCTATATATAAGTATATATAGAATGATACATGTCCATATATAAAAAAATATAATATAAATATAATATATAATATAAAATATAATATATAATATAATATAAATATAATTACATATGATTACATATAATACATTCACATATAATCATACACAACTCTATTTATATACTTATATATAATTACACCATTTCATGTGTAATTATACATTTTTATATGTGGAAAATCTTTCATCGGGAAAAAAATTATTAGGCACCAAAGGATATTCCTATTATTTAGTATCTACATATATATTTCGTTTTTATATTCTCGAGCTGTAGTGGTTGAAAAAATTATGACGAAATGACCGAGTTCTTCCGCTCTTTCGGATCTTTCGGGATTGAAATCGGACTCGAACAATGGACCGATCACGTGTATCTATCGTTATTACACATAGAAACAGAAAGGAGACCGCGTGTATACGGCGCACTCGATCTCCTGCGGAGGCTTCCTTCTCTCAAGGGTAAGGAAAGGTGTCGCCTGGCAGCGTTTGCACATGGTTTCATTGTTGGTTGCACAACAATGAACTCTAACGAGGGTAAGCCTATCACGGACCTGTGCGCGCCAGGCATTCGGTTCCCTTTCAGTCTTTTCTTCTTTACCTCTATCGATACACGAGCACGTGTCGTTAATATCGATTTATGACTTCTACTGTGCTCGTTTCTCGTTTTCTGCACGTGTCCGCGGGACTTTAAAGCGAGGTTCTCCGTATCAAATTGAAAATACAAATCGGAATACAAATCAGGTATCGGAGATCACGCGAGTTCACTTATCATTACGCTTCAAATCTGCATCTGTGTGTATGTATGTATATATATATATATATATATATATATGATTTTTATTTCGCATTAAGATTATTTCTGAGTCAACGCGCGCGTCAATGTATTCCGCCACGAATAGCGCAGAAGCGCGAATCTTCTAAAGATGTTAAGATTATCATTACGTAATTCCGCACACAAAGACGCGCGCCATAGGTAAATAGACGAGGAGAAAAGCGCAATTAGTTGCGCAATTTCAAACGGAATTGAGCTCGAGGAACAGCGTTGATGTCCGCTCCGATACAAATAAAATCCCAAATCTTGAGTATACTAAAAAAAAAAAAATAAATAAATAAATAGAAACAGCGACCGGGCACGGGAACGATTTTTTTTCCCCGATTTAAGGTTTCCTACGTGCATTTGCATTTATTGCACCGAGTGACGCATGCGATTGCGCCTTACCAAGAAGCATGGAATCGTGGATTTGCCCCGGAAGAGCCAAGCATGACTTGTGTTGTATTTATATTCGGATCTTACGTCCGCACGATTAACTCAGAAACGCGCATCTTCGCGTCACTCTGTTTGCTTTATAGAACTCGGGATGAGCGATGAGCTTGATCTGCCGAGTCAATCGAGTATTTTCTATTTAGGCTTTAACGGAACAGTTTACATATACCTTGGAAGATACCGCTTCTCTTTCCGTCTCTTTTCTCCGATAGTTGTGCTCTCTGAAACGTTCTTTCTTCTCGCAATGCTCTGTCTCGCGCCTTTCATTTCAATGCGAAGTGATCTGCACGCTGCATTCAAATCTTTTTCCTTCTTTTTTTTTTTTTTTTTTTACTATTCTAGACTCTTCATCGAAAATGCCATATATAGAATATGTTTAATTAAAATTAAAAGGAAATAAGATTTTAAGTAAATAATTAATTAAAATTACTCTCCTTTTCTGTTACTATTCTTATACTAGAAAAATTCTTTGCATACAATGCGTATTTCTCATCGTTCAGCTTTTCATTTATGCAATTTTGCAA